ACTGCTTGATTCTCTCCTTTCCACACAGTCCAGGGCCCAGGCACAGGGCCACCTACTGTCAGGGTGGGTCTGCCCCCTCAATTAACCTAATCCCGATAATCCCTCACAGGCATGCCCAGAGGCTAACATAATCTCAATAATCCCTCATAGGTATGCCTGGAGGCCTGCCTCCTAGAGGATTCCAGATCTTGTCAAGTTGACAATAACACTAACTACCTCAGCCACTTTGTGGGGGTGATGTGGAGGCTGCCGGGACTACTTCAGTCTCATACACATGAGAGAAAGGAACGTGGACTCTCTCATCAGATACAGCATGGCAAGTAATGACAACCCTTTCAAGCAGTGCCCACTGCCCTGATATGAGGCCAGATGGGAAGCTGGGTGGGTGGATGGACGTTTCCTTACCTGGAAACAGGTGTGGCTACTGCTCTGATTGGAACAAAGTGAGACCATCCCTCCCTCCCAGCCTGTCCCCCAGTGCCTGCTTCTACCTACACTTAGTAAACGGTCCTCTAGGCAGGGCAGTTCCCCCCACACAGCCTTGCTGCTCCTGGCATTCAAGATCTTGCTCCAGGGGCAGATCTTGGCAGCCGCACTTTCCTAGATAAAAGTCCATAATGGCTGCTGGCCTCTTCCCTGCCCGGGGCTCCTTGGCTGAGGAGAGAAGGCATCACAGCCCTGGAGAAGACTTGCTTTCAAATAGAGGCGAGGCGGGGCGCAGCAAAGCCTGAGGGTGATACCATGCTCCCCTTAACATCCAACCCAGGAAGGATTGCTGACTGCCTGGCTGACCCACCCTGTTTGCGGTCTGACATCAAGGGGGCAAGTAGGGAAGACCTTTCTTTTAACCAATCTGGGGTTTTACACCTCTCTCCCAGCCCTGCAGGTCAGGGACGCAAACAAGAATGCATCCAATAATTGGGAACCCCAGCAGGTCTCACCGAGTTTGAAGGGGTAGAGACTAAGCCAGCTGAGCCTCCCAACCTAGCTGTGAGCTTCTGACTGGGCTGTACCTCTGCCCCTATCCTGGGCTGGATGCTTCCATTCTGGACACTTGGTGGTCACTGGGAAGGACACCGACCTGCAGGGAACTCAATTTTTCTAAGTGTGAAAGCTAATCTGTGTTTCCTGTTTGAATAACAAAGCCAGCAGTAGCCAAGGCTGGGCACAGCTGGCTCCTCCCTCCTGTGCTGTCCCCTCCAACCCCCTCTACTTCTTGTAATATAGGGAGCCCCATCCCTATACCCGCACTGCTTCTGACCCCCAGCCAAAGAATGAAAGTTCAAAGACCTGTACAATCTCCCCAAGATCCCTTCTGGTTCCAAACACAGAAATTAGTACATGATTTCATCCACCCAACTCTCTGTTCCTGCTGTCCAGATCATCAGAGCCCTGTGTCTGCCCAGGCCATAATGGCAGCCACAGTGCTGGCCACCCGGGCCCACTGGTCCCTGCATACAAAGCACCCGGCTGGCCATTATCATTCCGGGGCGGAACTCCGCTTGGCCTGTGTCTCATCGGTCACTCAGCAGCCCTTAATGACCTGTCAGTTCCTTGGCCTGCCATTTTTCTGTCTAATTAATTCTTTTATTGTGCACCGGATAAAGAAAGACAAAGGCCTTGCCGGCAATAATGATTCATTAAAATGCAGTGCCTTCCCAGCTCTTGGCCCAGCACCAGCCGCTCCACCCGCTGTGGGCATGGTTGCCTGCGCCCCTTAACCCTTTACAGGGTCCTCTGTGCTAGACATCCCAGAAAAATCGAGATGTGAGCTAGTCCAGGAACCTAGTGTGGGAGGGTCTCCTGAAAGATGAACACTTCTTCAGGACTGGTGTAGGGGGGCCCAGATGTACATTTGGGACTCCAACCCCTTTCCGGGGAATAGAAAGGCTTAGAGAGGGACACTTGATACTGGACAAGGATCCAGGGACATGTGCCCTTGAGATTTGGCCAAGACAGGAAGGAAGGTGCTACTCACAGAGGTCAGCCAGTGAGCCATACACTTCAGGCTTGACTAGTTTATCCTCAGGGAATTTCTATCATGGGCATGGGGGAAACTGAGGCATGGGAAGTAAACTGGTAAGTGGCAGCTTTTCTAACCGTTGTTCCATCCTGCCTCCCCACAGGAAGCTGTTCATATGTCTGGATGCTGTGGGAGGGAGACAGGCCCTTGGGTGGACAGGCTTCCGTCCTGGGAATAGGCAAGAGGAAGAAGCTAGGCTATGGCTACCTTCTGAGGACATGCACTCTGACTCTTCCTCTCTATATTTTTCTTATCTCAAATCATCCACCTTATTTTGCACATGAGCAAAAAGATTCTCAAGAGGTCTGAGGGAGTGACAAAAAAAAAAAAATCACCATCCTCAGTGATGGGTGAGGAAAAGCAAGACTCTTGGAGACGGCAGCAGAAGATGAGGCGGCTCTGAGGGACCTGGGTGGGGTAGGTGAGTCGAGCACTCAATCTCACACTGCTCAGTTCCAAACCCCTCTCGTAGACAGGCAGAACAATAGCCTCTGGATACCCATCGTGTGGAGAGGCCCAGGTTTTGGCCCAAGTGACTTGGGGTTACAGGCTGCCCTAAGAATCAAAAATGATGGTGGTGATGGTGGTGGGGGGGGGTAATATCCCTATTGACCGCAGCTCCTAGAAATGTCAGGGTACTCCGTGGGGAGAATCCTGGCTGGGGACTGCAGGTGTCTGGGAGCAGTCCCTCCAGTGGCCGAGTACTTAGGCTGGCAAAGCCAGAGTCGGGTAGCCTTACTAGGTTGTGGAGGTCGTCTTCTGTGCTACTAGGGATAAAGTAGGACAGAAAACATGCTGTCCTATCCAGTCCTCCTCCCTCGGAACAAGTTTTTGCATGGGTGCCAGACAGGGGCAGTTTATCTCCTTGTCTTAGGGTCACACTGACCAGGATGTAGTATAATGAGACTGGAGATAATGCCGGCCCACAGCCTACAGATGAGAGTCCATATCTGCCCAGTGCCTGGCAACTGGGACATCACCACCCAGAGCACATCTCCAGGGCCCAATGCCTTTAACAGCGGTCCCAGCAAACTCTGGGTAGGCAGAGGTAGGGTGGACAGAGAGGCTCAGTCCTTGGCAGGACTGGAGTCCCTTGGCATGAGGTCAGACACTGGGAAGAAAAGATGGGAGGTAGACCCCATGTGACTACCTGGGAGAGTCTGGAAAGATAGGGACTGCCTGGAGGGTACAAGTCCTCCATTATCAGGAACTGATAGCCGGGATGGATTCGAACTTGACCAAACAGACACCAGCTCCCAAGAGCTGACACTACCCTAAGATCAGCAGGAGGGGGGGAGGGTTTTTTCCTCCAGTCTCTCAGATGCTGGGGCTGACAGGAGTATCGCCCCTTTCTTCTGAACATGGCATTCTGCTTGACTGATGTCAGAGCCAACCTTGTTTTGGGCGAGAAATGAAAAGGAGGAACTTTCTGCCAGTCTGCCCCTGGGATGGGTTAATGGGATGGGTACTCTCTGAGAGAAAGGGACTCCAGTGCTCGGACTCAGGGTGAAGCTGGCCAGGGAAGTATTTTTAGACTGAAGCTATGCTGGAAGCCAGACAATTTCTTCCTATGGACCAACACAACAATACTCCTCCCTCCCCAACCTGCCTACCCCAGCCACAGCCTCAGTGCAGCCCTGGGAGCCTCCAGGCCCCAGCCTTGGGTTCTGCCTCTGAGGGCCTAGTGTACCGATGGGGAGCCACCATCTGGGCTAGCCTCAGGAGTTGAGATGGAAGCAGGCAGGCAGGTACAAAGTACAGGGCATCTCCAAGGAAAAAGGTGGGGTGGATGGGCCAGGACACTGGTGTCCCACTTCGTGATGCGCGGATACAAGGAGGCTCTCAGGAAGCAACACTCAGAACCAGGGCTGGTTGGCAAGACAGACGGGCCCGGGCCCCAGGAGTTAATGCTCAGGAGGCTCGCCAAGTCCTAACAGAACTGGCAGGGCCACCCGGCCCTTGGGAACCTGGCAAGCCCCAAAGCTAATCCCAGCCCAGCAGCAGGGCCTCACAGCTTTGTCAGCGAGCCGGACGCCTGGGGTTCTCCTTGGTCTGGGGGTGTCAATGAGAGAACTCTGAGGGCCATATGGGTTCAGACAACCCTTGGCTGGATGCGGGTCTGGCAGGACTGGGTCCACATGGGCGGCAGGCTGTGAAGACATCAGCCATCCATTAAGCTGGTTCTCACAGCACCGTTCCCCACACCTGGAAGCTTGATGCACTCAGACCTTACGAGCTCTTATAAATCCAGTGACTTTCCCCAAATGCTGGTCTTGGCAGGTCCTAGAGTCAGTCTTCTCAAAGCAGGGCAAGGGAAGTAGTAACCCCCCTCCACATTTGGGGTTCTTGAGAGGCATGGCTCCCTTCCACCCCCAGACCGAGGCTGAAGTCTATATAGCTGGGGTGCAGCCGGCCCTGGCAGCCCCTGCTAGCCACATGCACCCCAAGAGGCTTGGCAAGGACCCCTTGCTGTCCTCTCCTCACAACCATTTTCTCCCTAGAAACTTCCCTCTGAGCAGACAGCTTTGCCAGGCTCTCTTGGGACGGTTTTTCTCTGCTCCCAGCCTGGCTCTGAGCCAAGACACCCCTACCCCCGAAAAAAATGCCCATCAGCTTGAGACATGCCACACAGCTACCCAGATACCAGCCTTGATTAGCCTGGGAGGAAAACATGGTTTGGAAGGGCCCATCTGGACCTGTGTTTGACTGCTTGGGAGTAACCCCTAAAATGAGGAAGCCAGACAAGGCTAAAGGCATGGTGTTTAAATTCAGATCAAGTGTTTGTGAGGGGGTGTCTGGCCATCTCCCTAAGATGAGGTGAAGCCCCTGCCTTGGGGAGTCCGAGTGGGCTCTGTACCCCCTCACAGTGGCCAGATCAGGGCAGCTGGAACCAGACCCTGAGCAATGTGTCACCTCCCTCCTAGGAATCTTCATGAAAGAACGCCCAGGCTTGAGAGAAGTAATACACAAAACATGCTCCAAGTAGATAAAAAGCATTTTTTTTAAAATTTTATCAAATTGATCTGTACAAAAGTTAGCATTGCTTGGTCAGAAAGTAGCGAAACAGAGCAGGCGAAGGACAGCAAATGTCTTTCTGGATTCAATGCCAAAAAAAAAAAAGAAATAGATTGCATAAAAAATGAGTTTGCTGTGGTTCCCACTCCCACTCCCAGAAGGAGATACACGAAAAGAAAAAAAAGACAGGTTTTTTCCCTCTAAAAAAAGTAGGAAAAGTAGAAAAAATTAAAAAGAAGCAAACTTCTCAAATGTGATTAAATGTACAAAGTCTCAAAGGCACAAGTTTCTGTAAAGTAGCCGGTTACACACGCAGCACACAGCAAAGCGAGGCAGGGAAGCAGGTGTTATTTTCTAACTAGGAACCTAGGCAGGTTAGTGGAGGAGGCTCTCTCTTTTCACAGCTTGGTAAGTAGCGCCTGGTGCCAAAGAGCCAAGATTATCGTGGTTCTGCAGCTGCCAACTTGCAGGAATTCTGTCTTCTACCGCTTGGCACCACTGAGGGCAGAGATGACATTCCTGTCTTCCAATGCCCGACCTGATGCTGGTGCTGGGCATTTCATTGCAACCAGACCCCAAGAGGTAAATCATTTCCTCCTGTGCCTGGTGGAGGCCTCCCGGGCCATCTGAAGGCCGAGTAAAGAGATGCCATGGGGTGCTGGACCACTTCCCTCCTGCCCTTTACAAGACAAGCTTCCCCACTTTCATTCTGTCTTAAATTCTACCCTCTGCACAAATTACTTCATTAATTAAAGATAAAATGATACAGAACATAAATACATCTTCAACAGCTTTCAAAACAGACATGTTTAAGCCTTAAAAATAAAAATTACAAAAAAAAAATATAAAATAAACATGAGAAGTGTTTGTCTCAGCCAAACCTTGCTGGGAAGAACTGTGGTAATGAGAAACCCTCGATCTCACATCGGTCCCAAGAGATGCCCGAGTGGATGTATCCCGAGCGTCCACAGATGTGCTTTCACCATGGGAACAACATCCCTTGAACCCAGGGAGTTCTTGGCTGGGCTGGTAAGGACCCAAGGCCCCTTCTCTCCTCCTTGTCCTAAGCCGTAGCTGTCTTCTCTTCTACGGAGATGGAAGACCCAGGAGCTGGTACCCACTCACCCAAACCGGAGAGTGATAGAATGGCTGTTTTCGCAATCACCAGTTACCTCAGAGAGAGAAGTGGAGGAAAAAGAGAGCTCTGTCCCCTGGCAGAAGTTTGGATATCCAGAGGCAAAGGGACACAGGGAGACAATGCCTGGCTTCCTGCAGATTCAGCAGGCACTTGACGGAGCGAGGCTGTCCTGGCTGCTTCCACCCCTCTACCGAGTCCGCTTCCGGAAGACCTCAAAGACCTGGCTATACTTCGTGGGCACTGAGTCCCCCGGGATGCAGCAGCCTCAGGGCCGGGTCAGGGTGGTGTACACAGGCTGGGTCCCAGTTGCTGCTGGGGCTGTGTGCAGGGTGGCATGGAGAGCCCATTGAGCAGTGGTGAGGCGTAGGGTCGGCGGGATGAGTGAAAGTAAGGATACTGGTAGAGGCTGGGCGGGGTAGCCAGGGTAGGGGCTGTAGTAGTTGGAAGCCTGGAGGTCAGTGTAGTCACACTGTGCACTGGCGAAGGAGCTGGCCGCCGTGGCAGAGGCAGCTGTGGTGACGCTGGCCTGGGCACTGTAGGAGCCATAGTCAGCGACGGCCAGGTGAGCCATGTGACTGGTCGTTGTAGTGGGTGGGGCTCAGCTGCTCTGTCTTGATGTGTGGCCGAAGGGGGTCCTGCCTCCGTGGGCGAGGCTGAGGCCGAGGGAGCTCCCTTGTGGGCCCACACAGGGGATGCTCCTATGCCAGTTGCCCCGGAGTGGGAGTAGGAGGTGCTCCCATAGGAGCCAGAGGCAGTGGCCTGGCTGGGCTCTGTGGGCAGGGCTGAGTGGCCATTGAGGGGCAAGTACTGGTCAAACTCGTGGACATCAAAGGTATCCATGTTACTGATAACCTCGCTGCTGAGCTCGGAGATGTCCACATTGCTGAAGTCGATGTTCTGGCGCCCGCTGTCCACCAGGCGGCGCCCTTCCAGCCTTAGCTCCTGCTTGCCTCCACTGCTGGCCTGATGCAGGTCTGTCTTGGGGGGTGGTGGGTGGGGTGGGCGGCCCATGGGTCTGGCCTGAGGAAGAGAGTATATTTCAAGGATGAATGCCCCTTCTGTGGGACCAGGGTGGAGCTGGTGGGTGACACCAGGAACCTTGGTAACTGCCACAGGTACGAATCAACAGCTTTTTGTTTCTTTACCTTCCCAGAAATTCCTGCAAACTCAGACCCAGCCCTCACTTACTGGCTGAGAAAATTCCGTTAAGCACTGTGCTGTGGGAAGACCCAAGGCCCCTCCCTGAAGACCTGGGTGGGGGGTGGAAGGTGGCCAGGCGGCCCCACCAGAACTAGCATTAATGGGGCACTCTTGGAATGCCTGGTCCTGGGCAGAGGACCAAGCTGAACCCACACAACCCCGTTCTTCCCCCATCGCAGCCGAGTGAAGGAAAGCTCACGGCCTACCTCCAGCTTCACCGAGGCTGCTTAGCTGCTGGGACCCCACCCGACCAGGCCTGATTCTGAAGCTGGGGTTGTTGACCCATGCTACTGTCATTGAAAAGTGGAGGCAGATTGTGTGTGAGTCCCACTGAATACACATCTCCAGAATGCTAGATGGGGCTACGTAGCCCTCCTCTTCTTGAGCATCAGAAATAACTATATCCAGAGAAGCTTTTTCAGGGGGCTAGGGAAGGTCTGGCCCTCTGCAGATTGCCAACCCTGGCGGAAAGACCTTCTCACACTCCAGGTCAGTTCCACTACTGCCCACCCCATGCTAAGGGTCCTGGAGCCTACCTGTGTGGTCACTGTGGTGGGTGTGTGTCGCTGAGGACTGCGTCAGTTTTTGTACATGGGACCACCAGGGTGGTGGCCCAGTTCTGTGCCGGAGTCCGAGTCACTCCGGCCAGCCTTCACACTCTTTCTTCGTCGTGGCTGGTATTTGTAATCTGGGTGGTCTTTCTTGTGTTGGACACGGAGCCTCTCAGCCTCCTCCACGAAGGGACGCTTCTCACTTTCACTCAGCAAGCTGCAGAGAACACAGCAGGGCAAGGATGTCCACAGAGCTCCAGGGCTGCCAAGGGCCCAGGCAGTACCACCAGCCCATGCACTGCTGTGGGAGTTGACCTGGAGTCAGACAGCAGGAGCACCGGGTTGGGTGCTGGAGAGGCCAGGACACCCTCCAGTGGGTAGCCTGCTCTCATGCTGAGAATCCTAGCACCGGTGGGACAGAGTGGTGAGACCTGTGTGGTGAGGACTGTATGTCTTTATAGTCCAAGGAACAAGCAAGACCCCGATTCCCCGTCTTTCCTGAGGTCCCCCTTTCCAACTCCATTTGCTCGTCTCTCCCACCCCGCTTCCTCAGTCATTCTCTAGGAGGAAGGCAGGACCCAGTGAAAACCACACTTTGACAAAGGCAAGGCTTCCTGGGAGCCTGCTGTGACTCAAGGCAGCTGGGTTTGCTGTCCTTTGGGTCTCAAGCTTCCAGGGTGAAGGCAAAACCCAGGAGACTGTCCTCTGAGCACACACACACCCTAAGAATCTCTCGGCCTTGCACCTCTACCTGCGGGGAAAGCTGAGATGGGCAAGACCACCTCCCTGTCCTGCTCAGCCCAGTGTTACTAACATGGACTGTTTCAAACTCAAGCAGAGGCAGCTTGGGAGGTTTGGGATGTACTGTGCTGAGGAACTTCTGTCTTCTTTAATAATGCCTGCCTTTCTCATGCCAAAGTGCCCACTGAGCCTCTCTCACTTTTCACCCATGCCTCCCTTCCTCCATTCCAGGTTGGTGTGGCCTGGGAGAAGTACCTGGGGACAGTACCAGCCAGCAGACTTGGACTCCTCATGGCTATCCCGAGTCCCAGCTTTTGCCCAGGACAAAGCAGCTTGATGCCTGCCCCTATGCCTGCAGGCCATGGTGGGATCCCCAGTTCTGCAGTTCTCAGCAGGATACCCCAGGAAGGGGAGAAAGAGCTGGACGGTCACACTCCAGGCACTGGCCTGGGTCCATCTCCAAGGTCCCACATCTGGTGTCTGGTCTCTGTTGACCAAGGTGTTTTTCCATCAGACCCACCCTGGAACCAGCCCAGGAGCACAACCCAAGCTTGGGCACGACGCCACCTCCTTCAGCCCCTTACGTTCCCCTCCTCAGCCAGAGTGTCATGAGTCCCCACACTCACCGCCACAGCTTGCCCAGGGTCTTGCTGAGCTCTGCGTTATGGAGATGCGGGTACTGGTCGGCCAGCTTGCGGCGCGCCGCCTGCGCCCACACCATGAAGGCGTTCATGGGCCGCTTCACGTGTGGCTTGGCCTTGAGCGCGCCGCCACCGCCGCCGCGCACGGGCATAGGCACCAGACTCCAGTCATAGCCCTTAAGCACCTGTGACACAGCATCACGGATGCAGGCTGGAAAGCGTTCGTCTGCTGCCTCAGCAGAGTCCCCTCGGCCGCCGCCCCCCGCGCGGCCCAGGCCCTCGGATCCCGCGGGCGACGGCGGCGCGTCGGAATCTGAATCCTCCACGTGTGACATGGAGCTAGCGGTGCCGGACGGGCTGCAGGGTGGCTGGGCGCGGGCCTCACTCATGTCCAGCATCGGGACCACGCACGGAGGGGTGCTCAGTGGGGATGGACGCAGTGGTCGCGCCAGGTCACGCCGTGGACGGACACTCTGGAATCCAAGGCTGCCACGCAGGACCCAATCTTTGTCCCCGCCGCAGGCGCCCAGCTGCCGCTCATCCGCCGCTGCAGCTCTGTCTCAGTTCTAGGACCCGCAACAAGTTTCTTTAAACCTTGGCCGAAGCCCCGCCCCTCCCAGCCCGGGTTGGCAGGCGCGCCCTCCTCGAGGCGGAGCTTGGGTGCCCCGCCCCTAATCTTAGGAAGCGGACCCCACCCCGCCCTCCGCACCACGTGGGCCAGGCGCCCCGAAGCCTGATCCCTCGATTGAGGCAGGGTCAGAGGCTAAGGGTGACTGACTGCCCAGCGCCGGGTTCTCTGCAGCGTGGCTCGACTTTCGGGCGGCTGGCGAGGATGCTAATCCACAGGGTTCCTGAGCCCAACATCCCTCCCTCCGCTCTGAGGCTCGAATCCGCTATTTCAAACAAATCTGGGTTCTGCCCTCAGGGTGGCGCAATGACAGGAGCCACCAGGTGACCCTGGTAACTCATGCACCTAGGTGAGCTGGAGGACCCCGGGGCCGGACAAAGGTGGGAGGACGGGGGCGCTGGGCGGGGCTGCGCAGGCCGGGGCTGCTGAGTCCCTAGGGCGGTCGGCGGATGGCCCGGCCGGACGCGGGGGCCCAGGTCCTTCCGGGTATGACCTGCGGCGGGGGCGCAGAGGCCCTGGCGGGCGGGCCTGGGTGGTCTGGCGGAGGCGGAGGCCACGCCGGGCCACTTCGCCTCGGCGCCTGGAGAGAAGGAGGAGAGCGCTCAGGGTTGGAGAGGGGACGTTTCTCCTGAGGCCAGCGCCAAGCCGCCACTCCGAGCCGCGCCCGAGGTCGCCCCCGCGAGTTGGCTCCCGGCCGGGAGGTCTCCAAGGGCCACTAGGATTCTCTCGCCAAACTCAAAGGAGGCGTCGTACCTGCCACCCTAAGCTGTGGCTCTCGAGAGCCAGGTGACCGTAAACGAGGCCGCCTGTTTTCCAAACCAGTGGATGCAGCAGCAGGGAAAAACCGTGGGCCCGCTGTGCCGCCTCAGGGGCTCCTTTTCCCAGAAAAAAACCAATTGGGAAGTCTATGGGGTTGGGGGTCCGATTGCGCTTAGCGCAGGACTGGCCTCCCATCCCCAGCTCCAGCCAAGGCGTGAGTGGTGCCCTAATCTCCTGGTCTGGGATCCCAACCTCAGGCTTTCCCTGCAGCCCTGGAAAGGGCCAGTGCTGTGCAATTGTGGCCTTGGGGCATCTATAGCTCTTGCCTGGAAGGAGGATGTCCAAGTCCCTGCCACCTGCTGAGGGGACCGCTAAGGAAGAGAGGCTGCGCCCCCACCCCGTGTGTGTGTGTGTGTGTGTGTGTGTGTGTGTGTGTGTGTGTGTGTGTGTGTGTGTGTGTTAAGTGGGTGGAGAGCTGGCTGCCATTGTCTGCTGAACTCTACCCTTACTTTAACTGTCACCTGACAAGAAAGTCCCTTCCCTATACATCTGCAGTGGCTGTCCTTTCCCTTGAGGATCCCTCCACTCAGGGTCCCACCTCCTGGGAAAGAAGTGTCTTGGAGGCATAAAGACCTCCCCCTTCCCCGCTGTCTAGTGCACTGTCATAGCGCCATCCATACCAGCAAAAGAAGTCTAAGAGGCGTAGCTGAGGATGGAGACAGGCCTGACCCCTAAGGTCTCAGGTCCCAACCCGTGCTTCCATGGACCCATGCCCTCAGGCCTCCACTTTGCTAAGAAAACACAAAACTGAGTTCTCATTGGGTACCCCAGAAGTGCAGCTTCTTCCTGGCCCCCACGGGTGGGGCCGTAATATACTCACTTCTCAGATCCCCAGACTGCTTGGACCCTTGATAGAAAGGAGGTAGAGCTTATCCTGGCTCTACCCACAGTTTGAACCTTCCCATCACTGGAGGCTCTAGTGACTCCCTGACCCCCAGAGGACTGGTGGCCACCCCTGTTAGTTATGCAGGTATAGGCCACTATGGGCTGCCAGGAGCTGACCCAGCCCTGCCCAGGACATTGGCACACACATGGTGCCCTGAGCTCTTCTAGGCTGTGTTCAGAATTGAGCCCAGTACAAGCCGTGGCCCCACAGGTGTTGCTCCAGGCCCATGCCAGGCTATTGTTGGGTCACCTTGAAAGGCCAGCATATCCTCCAGGTCTTCAGATTCCTTTGAGGCTGACTGGTTCGCATCCTCAGCCACTAGGCAGATCCTGAACAGACATGAAGCGGTGGCTTCTGGGAAGAAAGCTATTCAGGGTGGGTTTTATGAGTTCCCTAGGACTGATTAAACACAGCTTCGTGCCATGGCCTCCTTAGGACCAAACAGTCAGGACCCTGCTTCATAGTCCCTGGTCTGGAGATCCTAGTGTTGAGGGCAAGGGGGCAACTAGCCCTCTCTTGAGATGCACCCTGTCGGGAAGGAGACTTTCAGAAGGGTGGTCCCAGAAATCTCAAGGATGTGGTGGTTCAGCTGAGATCTGAAGTTTGCGGCTTTTATGAAAGGAGAAAAGAGTAGCCCCCGTGGGCGGCACCCCATGCGAAGGCCCTGCAGCCCCAAATAGCACAGGCGTAACGATAATGCAGGAATCTGCAGGTCTTTAACACTTGCATGGAAACTGTAGGGACCGCCTCTCCATTTACCTTGTGGGCCACTGGGCCTTGTCCAGGTGTGGACCAGTTCCTCCTCCTCTTCACTCTTCTTCCGCCCCCACCCTGCTCCTCGGCTGGTGCTAGTTTTGCCCCAGTCGGCATGACCTTGCCCTGGCCTGGAACTTCCCCGTTATCATGTGGGTTTTGCAGTTTTAAAGTGAGGACCTCATTGGCTAAACTTAGTCCACGTGCCCATTCCTGGACCATTGGCTCTGGAGCCTGGGGGGTGGGGGCGGTGATTGAGTAGGTCTGTAAACCTCAGGTTGGCTGTGTGTCCTCAGCCCTGGCCTGGTTCTCCCTCTGCCCCTGAATCCAGAGCTGTACTTCGGGCAGCTGGCAGGGCATCCCAGCACAGCCATGGAGATTCTTAATTGCTGACGTTGGCCTGGAAGAAACAAAATGCACAGGCAGCAAAGGGTGAACTCAAACAGGGCTCCTGTAGACTGTTGCGCTGCCCACTGTATTCCCAGAGGCAGGAGAGGGCCTCAGTGGATCAACTTGTCACTTCCAGAAGTCTGGCCTCCCAGTAACATGCTCAGGGCACTAGGCCAAGCCCTCAGTCTCCCACCCCCTCTTCGTTCAGTGGTCTCAGGGACATTGTCAGAGCTGGCTGCAGTGGAAGTTGCAGTTGGGGTCAGAGCTAGTCCCTCAAAGGAACAGCCATCTATAGGGGAACTGCTGATGTCAGTACCTACCCCCTCTGCTGCCCCATGGTCCGTCTCTCAGACCTACAAGAGCAGTTTTCCTGCCATACCACATTTGCGCACTCCTGTGTCATGCCCTGCTACACTGTGTGTCCCCAGCCTGCCTCTGGCTCCAGGGAGAGGTGAGCATGCTCCCTCCAGCCTAGCAGCATCTTTGGAGTTTGATGGCTCTTGCGACACCCTGCTGGGATAGTCTCAGTTTGAAAGGATTCTGGAAAGGGGCTGTATTTTAACCCATGCAGTGGAGTCCAACACTTATCTTCTGCAACATGACAGGTGTGTGCAGAGGCCAGAGACGTGTTGGGAATAGCTGTTGATTCTACTGCTTTGTCCCGTTGCCTCTGGTGCTCCTGGGTCCCTGAATTTCAAGCTGGGCCCCCTCCTTCACCCTATCAGGGCCCTGAGTGGAGCTGACTCCCAACAGTATCCAGAGGGTCTTGGTCCTTCCTCCTTGGCACAGAGCATTTGGAAGTCAAAGCCATCCTCAGTAGGGTCCTCAGGGTGCTCAAGCAGCTTTTCCTGGGTGGAAGTGAACTCCATGCCGCCCTCAGCAAAGGTGTCAGCATCTGTTACTGGGATGGTGAAGTCTGGTGACAGAGTGTCAGTATAGGCTAAGCTGGACTTAGGCTCATTCTGACACTAGACACCTGGATCTCCAGCCCCATGCCTGGTGCTCATCCTGGGGACCCCACATCACCCTGAACCTAGCCTTTCCCCATCACCTACTCCATGCCGGAATCCTGTGAGTACTGAGCTCCCCGGAAATGAAAAATGAGGGTCTAGAGCAGACTTTGGCGGGGACTCTCTTGGTTCCTGTGTTCATTCCCTCAAGCTCCACTTTTCCGATCCAGCAAGGCTTCCTGCCCATCCATGGGGGCCAGAGTTGCAACTTTACTAAGCAGAACCCTGTTTCCGGAATAAACAGTACAGCAAATGGTGACTTAGAATAAAAATGTAACAAAGTAGTCCCTACAGCCCAAACCTCTTCTGCCATGGTTGAAAGGTCCAAATACCTATCAGTGCCCCGGGGCAAATTAAACACACCACTAAATGGCTTTCGACTGTCTGGTTTGCATTTGTTCCCCTGAATGTGGTGAGGAAGGTTTCAGTTAGGTCGCAGTAGGGCATACACTGTGGTTTGGGCTGTTTGTTGGGCAGCATTCGTGGCTGATACAGTGAGTGGCAGTACATAGAGCTCTGTGGGCAGAGTCCAGCCCATAGGCCTCCGGGTTCTGACCTCTGGGCCGGGGCTTTCCAAGAACTCTTCCAGTTCAGAACACAGCTCAGAGCCGTGTTCTGCTGTCGGGACCTACCCCAGACATTATGCTTCCATTCTACCTTGAAGTCACAGCTGCTGCTGGCACTGAAGGCCTCATCTCCCTGGGGTTCAGGGGGAGCTGAGGGTGCAGTGGAAGAGGTACAGCAGCCAAGAGGACAGCCACTTGTGAGTCACAGCTTCAGTCCAGCCAGCAAATGGCATGACACCTGCTCACTGCCGCACCTGCTGGTCTCTGACGGGTTTTGGCCAGTGGACAGTCGCGGGGCGGGGGTGTGTCGGGGGGACCAGCCCAACTGACCACTCTTCTAGGAGAAGGCAACAGATGTGGAACCTGCCCCGCTTCTACAAGCAGACTTCAAGACATGAAAAATTGGGGTAAATGAAGGGTGCACAATTATATTCAGCCCAAGCTGGGTTCTTGGGGAGCCAGAGACAGCTGCGCCTGCTTGTCAGGGACAATAGCCCTGAGACAGTGGGGACTGCTGGGCTGGGGTGCCTGGGGACAGCTGGACGAGGTGCTGACAGGGGGCTCATTCCTCTGTGAAGCCGTTCCGCAGCTGCTGGGAGAGCTGCCAGCTAGCGGCGGGCAGTGTGCCCTGTCCCCATACCCATCTCAGCCACTGTGCTGGAGGCTTCAGGGAGCTAGGACACAGGATCCAACTAGGAGCGGGTGAGCCCCGAACCTCCAGAGACACCAGCCGGGGCCTGAGCTGGCGGTCCCTCTTGGGACCCCTCCCCACTTTCCCTCCCTCTTCTTGGAGCTCTTTGCCAGAATCCCCAGGGTAGCCATCCCTCATCTTTGTCCCCTCTGGCCTGCCAGCTTGACTGTTTCTCGTAGTTTTTGGCTAAAAGTGATGTTTAGAAGCCTGCGTCATGCTGGTGGCCACTAAAGG